TATTCAGTGTTTGCTTTACTATTTATATTAGGTGCAACATGCTGCAGCAGAGTTTTTGAAAGCAATCAATAACCTGACAGAATCAGTCAGAAAACAGTGTGCCAGACTGAAGATTCAACAGATCACTCATGCTGAAAGGAATGCACCAAATGAAAAAGTATGTAATTTGAACAAGTTTCCATTCTGTACTAGGAGCTGCCAGAGAAGTCTTTATTGTATTGGCTACTGGTCCTCTCCCACATTTCACTATGTTTAATTTTATTCTTATCCCATTTTCAGCTCCACTGTCATTGTATAGGTGATTTTCCGTTGTCATTCGTCATTTGCACCCTGTCAATAATTTCATCTTTGACTTATCATCTTTGATTGCTTTGATATGTTATAGGTGGACCTCTATCAGATTTGTTTACTAGTTTTGTGATGTAAATATTTTTAGCAGACAAAGTTAATTTGGTTCATTAATTTGCCACTATATTTTGACCCAAGAATTTGACATGGAGGGGTCTGGGTATCCTGCATGACTTTGGGCACAGCACATGTTACAGGTAGACCACCAGGGTAAGTTAGGTTTGTCAAATTCCCACCTAGACAAGAGATAGATTTTTTGATTTCATGCATTTAGCATCAAATAGGACGAGCAAGATTAAAATAATCTTCCTTTCTGGTGTTTTTATGAAAAAGCATTATTTTTTCAGGGTGGCCAACTCACCTGTGTCTGAGGTTTTGTTTTCTGGTTGTGAGCTTACTCCATGATAGAAACCCAAGTCTTCTTGTCATTGTTCTTGTCATTCTTGTGGTGGTAACTCTTCAACATTCCTGTTGTGATGTTTGCATTGAATGATGGAATGATGTGAATGGCAGAACCATTCCGACATTGCCATACTCCAGTTTTGCAAACAAAAACATACTCTAGCTGCTAGAAGGGTGTGTAAATGTCACATATCATAATTGTGGTTTTTCAACTGAATATTTATCACTTGCAAGGAAGTCTTACTGCCATTGTCACAAGGAAATGGACAGTGATGAGTTAGATGTTTTTGATTCTATGAAGCCTATCAGACACCCTGGAAAGAAAACGATGAGACAAGCCCTGCACTAATTTAATTTTTACTCTACTAATTTATTTATTAACACACAACATCCCCCGGAGGGGATGAAAAGGGTTACAAATCAGATATTAGTAAAAGAAAAATAACTACATAAAAAGTAAGGGAACAAAAAAGCATTAAAAAAAGATAAATTTGTATACAAGGAATGTGTTACTGGCTTAGTTTATGTAGGTGCTGCTGTCTTGTATTAAAACATTTTTTTAAATATTGCGCTAAAGGAATTGACATTTTCTCGTTGCTTAGTAATGATATGAATTTATTTTCATCACTAAATTTGTCAAAATTTGGTATACATTTATTAGCTACAATGTAAAGTTTTAATGTAATTTCGTTGTAATGAGGACAATTTGTGACAAAATGTTGTTCATCTTCAACATGGTCATTGTCGCACATATTGCAGACTCTGTCTTTATAATCCAATCCTGTATGCTGGCCTGTTTCAATTTTCAGACAGTGGTTGCCAAGTCTAAATTTTGTTAAGGATTTTCATAATTGATAAGTAGTTTTCTTGTTCTATTTTGGTTTTAAAAAGTTTGTAGGTTCTTAGTTTATTTTTAGAATTTGATTTTTTCCTATTGTCATTATTTATTTCATTTTTCCACTCAGTTGTAAACTCTTCTTTTAATTTCTCATCAATTGTTTTTAGTTTTGATAATGAGATAATATTTGTTTCATTTAAAAGATAAGAATGGTTTATATTTTTTAATATCAAATCAATTTTTTTTAAACCATTTACTTTCATAATTTTATTGACATAGTATGCTTCTTGAAGTAGAGTATTTGTGGAATTTGCATACGATTGGCATATTTTATCATTTGTTTCTAATAAAAGAGTCAGAGTAATTTTCCCAATTCACTATATATGCATGATGTGTATTTTT